CAGGTCGAGCAGGTGGGTCGCTGAAGCGTGCGTCCTGCATGAATCGCGAGGAGGTCTCGAACGACAGCTCGATCTCCCAAATAAATCGTGAGAGATCCACAGCGAAACCGTGATCCGCTGAGTGTCGAGGGCGCGGCATTCGAATAAATTGCGAGGGCGTCCCACTCGGAAACGCGATTCCTGTATACATTGTGCGGCGTCCCGCGCGAGCGCGCGATTTGAGAATTCACTGTGGGGACGCATCAGGCGGGACCGCTGTTGCTGTTAACCGGGGGCCAACAACGCAGTTTGGTGGCCCCTCACTTTCCCTTCTATAAAACAAGGGTGCGAGCCCGGGGAGAAGCACCTTGGTAGAAAATGCACAATCGTTCCTGGAGGGAGGGTCAGCACAACACCAACAACAACGACAACGATACCACCAACAACAACAGCACCACCAACACCATGAACACCAACTGTAACAACACCAACACCAACACCAACACTAATTTGAATACTGTTCGCTCTTATCTGCGCGAGTGACATTCAGCGTATATTTCCTGAACCCTCGATGCCCGCCCTCTTCGTCTTCGGTCATACCCCTTTTGGGGGGCTATATCTTTCTTCCCTGCAGGCCGGGCCCTGGCAAGCGGCGGGGCGGCCGCGGACCGTCGGCTTGGCCAGCGGCAGCGCTGATCGGCGGCAACCCGATCCCAAGAGGGACGGACAGGGGACCGACCACGACGACCACGACAACGACGAGCGAAAGCGAGAGCGCGAGCGAGAGCGACAGCGGGGCCACGACGGGCAGAAAGGGGGCACGGCAGGGCGAGAGCGGGGTCACGAAGGGCATGCGCATGGGGCCACGACGGGCGCGAACGAGCGGGGGCCACGAAGGGCAGATAATGCGGGGCCGCAGAGGGCAAAGACGGGGCCACTGAGGACAGCAACGGGGCCACGTAGGACAGCGAGGGGGCCACAAAGGGAAACAGCAAGGCCACGAAGGGCATGCATACGGGGCCACGACGGGCGCGAACGAGCGGGGGCCAGGAAGGGCATGCGTATATTGGGCTGCCAAGGACGGGGCCACTGAGGGCAGCAACGGGGCCACGAAGGGCAGTGAGGGGGCCACGAAGGGCGAGAGCGGGGTCACGAAGCGCATGCAGATGGGGCCACGGCGGGCGCGAACGAGCACGCCACGAGGGGCATGCACAGATGGGGCCACGAAGGGCAGCGAGGGGGCCACGAAGGGCTGCACCGGGGCCCCGAAGGGCAGCGAGGGGGCCACGAAGGGCTGCAACGGGGCCCCGAAGGACAGCGTGTTTAAAATACAGAAAAAATCTTAACATGTTTTGAACATGTTTCCGGCATGTTTAAAACATGTTCGACACATGTCTGGGCATTATTTGGCAACATGCTCCCTCTCCATCGACCGTCCTCCACAACCCTAGACTCACACAACGCCCGACGGCCAGCAGGGATCCCGCGCCCCCGGCGGGCTCTTTCGCCCCCCACTCGCCCCCGGCAGGCGGCCGCGCAGCGCGCGGCGCCGGGGCCGCGCTTCACGCCGCGCCCGGCGAGCTCCTGGGAATTCTCCGGGATTGGCAGGAGGAGGGCGAAAAGGAGGAGGAGGAGGAGGAGGGATCTTCCTTCTCCTTCATCGTTCCCTCTCGCCTCTCTCGCCTCTGCCCTGCACTCATCCTCCCCCAGTCAGTCCCCCCTCGTTCCTCGACAGTTCAACAATATGAATACTGCTCTCTTCCCTCCCCTGGTGGCGTGCGAGAAATGTTCGGCCCCCCCCTCCGCGTACTGGATTCTTACACGCAGGATTTTCTCGAGTTGGGTTTTCGCTTTGTTTTTCTTCAAAATGCTGCTCTCGTTGAAACGCTGACCTCATTTTCGGAATACCGCTCGTTCAGAGTCGTGCTCCCGCTGCAGCGCTGGCGTCATTATTCCCAGCGCCATGTCACGGCTTGGTTTTCTGTCGCCCCAAAATCTAGAAAATGCCCCCTCCCGAAAAAAACATTGGAAGTGATTACACATTCGGCGTCGATTCTTTCATTTTTTGGGCCGCGGAAGCCCCCCACTTTGGGGCGTCGCCACGCCATGCTATGTCAGGCTACGCGTCTTCATTTCCGCGCTCCCGCGCTTGGAAATTGTTTCAAAATGCTACTCTCGCTGAAACGCTGGCCTCATTTTCGGGATACCGCTCGTTCCGAATCGTGCTCCCGCTGCAACGCTGGCCTCGTTTCCGCGCTTCTGCTCGTTTCGCATCGTGCTCCCGCTGCAGCGCTGGCGTCATTATTTCCAGCGCCATGCCACGGCATGGTTTTCTGTCCTTCCAAATAGACGCCAAAATCTAGAAACTGCCCTCCCGAACAAATCATCGGAAATGATTACACGTTCGGTGCCGCTTCGTTGATTTGTTTGGCCGCAGAAGCCCCCACTCTGGGGCGTCGCCACGCCATGCTATGTCAAGCTACGCGTCCTCATTTCCGCGCTTCCGCGCTTGGATTTGTTTCGAAATGCTGTTCTCGCTGAAGCACTTGCCTCATTTTCGGGATACCGCTCGTTCCGAATCGTGCTCCCGCTGCAACGCTGGCCTCATTTCCGTGCTTCCGCTCGTTCCGCATCGTGCTCCCGCTGCAGCGCTGGCCTCGTTTCCGCGCTTCTGCTCGTTTCGCATCGTGCTCCCGCTGCAGCGCTGGCGTCATTATTCCCAGCGCCATGCCACGGCATGGTTTTCTGCCCTTCCAAATAAGCCCCAAAATCTAGAAAATGCCCCCCCCCGAAAAAAAACATCGGAAGTGATTACACATTCGGAGTCGGTTCTTTCATTTATTGGGCCGCAGAAGCCCCCCCCACTTGAAGGCGTCGCCACGCCATGCTATGGCATGCTATGCGTTAGCCTTCCAACACCATGCTATGCCATGCAATGCCACGCCATGCTAAGACATCCAATTGTGCGAATAGATAAGGGATCTACGCCATGGGAAGGGATGGGACGGAGGGGTAGGACGTCAGATATGACGCGAGCGCACCTAGCTTGCCCCCCCCCTCCCCCTTCTCCTCCTCCACCACCTCCTCCTCTCCTCCGACAAGATCCCCTCATGGGGGCATGAAGCATGCGAAGGATGTGCCGACATGGGGCGGGGCTGCTATATGGGCGCTGCCACTGGGGCTTTAGGCGGAATCCACGAAAGGGGCCGCGAAATGGAGCTCCCTATGGGGCCATGGAACGCTGTACTGGGTGGGGAACGCATGCGGACACCGCCACTGGGGCCTTCGGTGGAGCTCTCTCGATGGGGCCACAAAGCGCAGTACTGGGTGGGGGAAACGCATGCGAACACCGCCACTGGGGCATTCGGTGGAGCTTTTTAATCTTATGGGGCCACGAAGCGTGTGAGGGGTGTGTCGACATGAGCGGCTGGGACGCTTGCGGGCGGCGTCACTGGGACCTTCGGCGGAGCTACCTATGGGGCCATGAAACATGTGAGGGGTATGCCGACATGAGCGGCTGGGGCGCGTGCGGGCGGCGCCACCAGGGCCTTCGGTGGAGCTCCTCAGGGGGGCGCGAAACGTGTGAGGTATGTGCTGAAATGGGCGCCTGGGACGCATGTGGACGCAGCCACTGGGGCCTTCGGTGGGGTTCACTATGTGAACACGAAACGCGTGAGAGGTGAGACAAAATAGGCGCCTGGGACGCATGTGGACGCAACCGCTGGGGCCTTCGGTGGGGCTCCTTATGGGGCCACGGAACATGCGAGGGGAACGCATGTGGACGCAGCCACTGGGGCCTTCGGAGGGGATCTCTATGGGGCCACGAAGCGTGTGAGGGGTGTGCCGGCATGGTTGACTGGTGCGGAGGGCAGAGGTACGGATGGGAGGAGGGAGGACCGGGAGAAGGGGAATGAGGAAGGAGAGGAGAGGCGGGGCGCTGTCTATTCAAGACGAGAACCCAACACCACAGGATGGTTGAAACAAATATATGTCACAAAGTAAGGTTCGCCCGGACTTCTTGGAACGGCGATGGACGGCCCCCCTAGGATGAGGAGGAGGAGGAGGAGGACAACAACGCGACGGCTCATGCAAGCCAGCGTTCACCCAACGCAAAAAAGAGGACGAGGAGGAGGAGAGGCCCACATGGATTTCTTGGATCTAGAGGCCTTCCAGATGGGGTCCGAGTACATGGGGTCGGCGGATCGCGCCGCTGCAGCGAGACATCGGCGATGCAGCGATACATCGGCGATGCATCGGTGATGCATCGGCAATGCATCGGCGATGCATCAGCGACGTCGGGGATGTATAGGCGACGTCGGCGCGGGGAAACACGGGCTCCGCATCCAATGCCTTGCAAATGCGGCGCGATCCGCCGAGCCCATCCACTCCGACCCCATCTGGGAGGCCTAGACTACGGTGGGGGCATCGCAGAAGGAACCATTGGATATCGGCGGCGAGTCCGGGGGAGAAGTTTTCGCCATCCTCGCTGCCCTCGCCTCGTTTTCGCCACTTTCGGCGTCTTGGGAGGCCCTCGTCGCCACCGCCGGATTCGCCTCGAAATCCTAGTCAGAACGCACCCGGGGAGAGGTCTGAGGAGTAGCAGAATTGGTACCTCCTGGTTTTCCAAAGAAGGGGCGGGCCTTCTCAGAAGGCTCGGAAGTCCCCTGGCCTTATGAAAGCTTCCCGAGCCTACCCCGAAGACACGAAATCATCTCAGATGGCGCGAGGGCTTCTGAGATTCCCGTCTGAGAAGGCCTTCGCCTGCTCACTTCCCCCTCTCGCTCGCCGCCGAGGATTAAGGAGTCCAGGTTCTGAAAGTAGGTGGGACACCGATTGATGCTTGGCCATGGATGCCACCGTCGCGCTAATCAGATGAAGAATCCTCCCAGGTCTGAAGCCTCCTAGGCACATTCCCCAGCGAACGCCCCCTCCATGTGATCATGCAATGTGTGTCTTCTTCGATGGGAGACCCAACCCACCGCCCGCGGAACGCAAGGACAAGCCGGAATGGCCGGGCTCCCTCAGGACCCCGAGGAGCTAGACGAGCTGCTGGACGAGCTGTCAACCGGAGCTGCCTGCAGAGTCGGGGCGCTAAGGACCAGGATGGAGAGAAGGAGAAGGCAGATATCGGCGGTGGACAAACCTCCCTTTAGTTGACCTCCCCTTAGTGAAAACGGCCTGGGACCGAAACCGACGGACCTGGACCTGTAAAAATGACGGCCGCGACGCCCTCTCGCGAACCGAAAACGGCCAATTCGCTAATCGACGTGTCAGGGTAGGAGGTCTATCCACCTCCGAAGATAATGAGGGGGGGAGGGTCAGTATGGGGAGAAGGGGAGGAACAACAGGAGGATGGAGCAAACACTTCCATGATGCACGAGAGCCGGCCACCCCATCGGTAATGCTCTCACTCCCAAGGGCCAGCTGACCTTCCGAATACACGCGCAAGCCATAAGTGAGGTGATGCTGAAACGCAAGCGGAGCCAGTGCGGATGGCGCAGGACCACGGGCGGCTTCGAGGTGCAAGCAAGCAGACGGAAACTTGAGACCAAGACCCGCAACTGCGAGGGAGGGCTTCGACATACAGGCGAGCACGGGGCGGTGACCCAACCGGATGACGGACGACTTGGTGAAGCAAGCGAACGAGCAGGAGACAAACAAGAACTCGCACGGAGATGATGGCGGGGCAGCAGAAGAGAGGAGTGGAGTGTATGGACCGCCAGAGGCGGCCAGCGGTTCATCTAGTGCGGGGCGTCTCAAATCCCAAGCGCGCAAATGCCCCCCGCGCGGGATCAGTAAGCCTCCCCATGCACTCCAGTGGCACCTCGACTCATGAACCATCCACGCGTGGGCGCAGCCGCTGCACCAGCCAGTCGAACGAACCATTTGGAGAGGTTGCGCCAGGGGCACATCGAAAAACTGAACGCAAGTCTGCAGCAAGCGACGGAAACATGAGCCAACCGCACTTGGAGAACGCAGTAACACAGGCGAGCCGAACGTTGCCTCTGATGGTCCGCGAGACGTGGTGGGGCGCGTCTCAAATACACGTAGAGCGTGGTCATGTCTTGGTGTATGCGCGGGGCATGTGTGGTGCATGTGCTGTGTATTTGCCGAGTCCTTGTGGAGGAATGTGTCGCATTCGTGAAGTACTTTCGGGAGATATCTTTGTGTTCGTGGTGTCTGCCGTACTGCCTGGAACAATCTCCCATCCTTGGCGGCCACACAGACTAACATGGATTCTTTGACACGGGCCACCGGTATTCTCGAGGCCGCGGACAGAATCTCCTGGAACCCCTGGCGCGCGCAAAGGGCGATCGGAGGCAATTGCGGGGCATCTGCGTGGCATTTGCAGGGCGCGTGTTTGATACGGGGGAGCGTGTATTGGTGTATTTTCGTTCGCTCACACGCGCGGCGCAATACCACGGCTCGCCTGCCTGCAATGGTTTCCAGGATAGCCCAGGCAAGCCCTGCAAATGCTGCCCTACGGGCCCAGGTGACGCCCGAGTTTCGCAAGGTCGCCATCTCGACGGAAAGGCGCCAGGAGCGTGTCAAATGGCCCAAGGAGCCCTCCCAGACGGCCCCGGAACGCTCCAGGCTGCCCCCCCGGAAGCGTCCAAAGCAGCCCAAGACGGCCAAAAAATAACCTCTCGGTAGCCCAAGACGCTCTCGGGCAGCCCCACGCCAGCCCCAACACACCCTCCAGACGGCCACGAGAGCTTCCACAGCGCCCAAGGAAACCACAGGAAGGCCACAGACGGCCCAATGACGACCCACCGTGCCCAACACAGCAGGCCAAACTCCAAGATGCTCCTGTGCTTCTCGATGCAGTTTCGCAACCCCGCCTTTCGGGCTGCCGATGGCGCCAGACCTCCACCCGCTCACAAGCAGCCCCACGACAGCTCCAAGGGATCCCCCACACGGCCACGGGAGCCTCACAGCTTGAAGACGGCCTCCAGCCCCACTACCAGACGAGGAGGAGAAGGAGGAGGAGGAGGAGGATACGGCGCCCATGCGACTCTTCTTCCAGGGTCGGCGGAGCCGGCCGTCCAGCCTTCGCAATGTCGAGCCAGGAAAGAGAATGCCTTTTCCTGCTGTACAACTGTAAGTACCTTCGAGGCACCCCTAAAGCACGCGCTATGCATGGACAGCGATGGGCCCAGCATTCTGGACGTACAGCGATGGGCCCAATATGCGCTGCTCCACCATGTTCACGTCAGTCGGTGTCGTGCCACCACTCTGGGACAAGACAACTCTCTGTCTACACATGTATATGTGTATTAGAAGGAAGCGGGCGGTGCAGGTGAGAATAATCCGAAGGAGGACGACAAACTGCCTTCATTCGGAGCAGGGCGAGTTAAAACAACACCAGCAGCTCAAAATCGGTCTCCCGACCCCTCCCGGGGTCCAAATGCACCAGCTTTTCGAGCTGCGTCCAGCCGTTGCGACGAGGGGGTCTCCCCGAAAGCAAACTACAATTGTCTCAACTCGCCCTCCACTGATTCATCGCCAGACCGTCCCTGGCGGTCGCTTCACGCTCACCTGCCCGCCCCACGCTCATCTCAGAGGAACGTAGCTGGGAGACTCACTGTCGCTCTCGCTATCCTGGCGGAGCCAAGAAATACGATACAGCTACTCTCGCGACCTCTCATGCGTTCTGATCAGGTTATCGAGGAGAATCACGCGGTGGCGACGGGGCCTCCCAGGAGGCCCAAAGGCAAAGGTAGCTTATGAGGAGCATCATGGAGGCCTTACGAGGCAAATCGCAGTGCGAACGTCGTCCCATATCTGATGCGGCAGACTTGCAGACTAGTTGAACAAAAAAACGATCGCGCGCCGCCCGGGGCCTCCAGGATTTTCCTCATAATGAGGTGGCGGTATCTTTACCTTTCCCCTCGCTCAGGGACAAGAAAAAGCGGCACCACTGCCTCCAGGGACCACGGGCGGTGGAAGCCAGGGAGGAGGGCCCCCCCTGGTGACGTGGCCCCCTCTCTCGCTCGAGAGATCCCCTCTCCCCAGCTCAGGCGTCATGGACCTCCTCGCTGTAAGTGGACCCCTTCGGCGGTGGACAAACCTCCCTTCAGTAAACCTCCCTTTATTAAAACAGCCTAGGACCGAAACCGACAGTCCTGGACCCGCAAAAACGACGGCCGCGACGCCCTCTCGCTAATCGATGTGTCAGGGCAGGAGGTCTATCAACCTCCGACCCCCTCTTGAACGCCCGAAATGGGCACGGACAATAATGGGCACAATGCCCAGCAACAAATGTTGTTACGGACCAACATCGGCCGCTGTTGGGCAGGTAGCCTTCTGTCTCAGATGGACAGAGCCCGCGGCGACGCCGACAGCGAGCCCTGTTCAAATTGGACAGGAACTGCTGTCAGTCTTCGTGCCCATTCTTTCCAAGCCCACTTCGATCGTCCCGACCCCTGGTGGTGGTGACGCTTCTGTTGAGCAGGGGCCGACCGTCCCAGCATTCCCAGAAGACTACCCCAAGTCTTTCTGAGAAGCCCAAAATGTTCTAACACTTACAACAACAACAACAACAACAACAACAACAACAACAACTACAACAACAATCAGTTCAAGACTGTTCGCTCATATCTGCTCGCGTGTCATTCAATGTGCACATCCCAAACCCTGGATACCCGCCCTCTTCGTCTTCGATCGTACCCCCTTTTAGGGCGTATGTTCATTCCCTGCCATGAAGGGCAGCAACGGGGCCACGAAGGGCAGCGAGCGAAGGCGACCGCGGAACCAGTACGGGCAGCGAGGGGCCTCGAAGGCGGGCGAAGGGCAGCTAGCGGCGACTGCAGTCCCTAACGGGCTGGTCGGGCGGGCAGGCCCAGACGGGCGGGTCGAGCGGGTGGGTCGTTGAAGCGTAAATTCTGCTTGAACCGCCAGGCAAGATGTAGCGGGAGCGCGATTCCTGAGTGTCGAGGAGCGGCGTCTGAACAAATTGTGAGGACGTATCAGGCGGGAGCCGCGATGCAGTGGTAAGTTCCGAAGAAATCCCAAGCGACAGCGCGATTCTTCAATAAGGCGGAAGCCGCGATCCGGTGGTAAATTGCACCGAGGTCCCAAGCGAGAGCGCGATTCTTCAATAAATTGTGAGGAGGTATCAGGCGGGAGCCGTTGTTGTTGTTGTTGTTGTTGTACACCAGGGGCCAACGACACAATTTGACCCTCAAAACTTTCCCTTAAAAAAACAAGGTGCGGACCCCGGGAAGGGCACTTCAATCGAAAACATGTGCACCGGACGAGGGGATCAACAATAATCCCACCAGCCCGTTGGGCGTGAGTGGTTTAGCGAGCTCTCTCTGTCCTCAACCCCCCTTCTTCCCCTTCGGGGAGGGGTTTACCCCTCCCCCTACCCCCTCCCCTGGACCTGGAGAGGGAGTTCCGAGTGGTGTCAAGGGGGGTCCATTTCGACTCCCGGGAGGGCCAAAAAACGACGACCCTCACGAGGATTCTGGCCCCGAGGGGGGGGGGGGGAGTTTGGTGCCTCAGCTCGTCTTTGAAGCAAAAATGATTGATTTTACTACGGTTTTGGCCACATTTCGGCCTTCTGAGGGGGCCGCGTTCCCCTTCCTTCATAGCAAAATCATATATTTTACGAAGGTTTTGGGCTCATTTTTGAAAAATCAGGGAGAAACGCTCATTTGCGCTTCTGAGGACGTCGCAAGAGGCCCCAAGATGGCCCCAAGAGGCCCCCAGGAGGCTCCCAAGAGGCCTCCAACAGGCCCCCCAGAGGCCCCCAAGCGGCCCCAAGAGGGCCCCAAGAGGCACCCAAGAGGCCCCCAAGAGGCCCCACGAGGCCCCAAGAGGCCCCCAAGAGGCCCCAAAGAGGCCCCCAAGAGGCCCCACGAGGCCCCAAGAGGCCCCCAAGAGGCCCCCAAGAGGCCCCCAAGAGGCCCCCAAGAGGCCCCACGAGGCTCCAAGAGGCCCCCAAGAGGCCCCACGAGGAGCCCGAACGACTCACACCAGGACGAGGGGCCCGAACGACTCACACCACGAAGAGCCCGAACGACTCACACCACAAGGAGGGGCCCGAACGACTCACACCAGGACGAGGCGC